GAAGTTGTGTGGTTGGCAGGAGCGTTCCAGTTCCCGACGAACGGTCCGCTGAACATGGCCGAACCATCGTTCCACGGATAGTCTACGAACACGCCCAACTGGCCGTCACTCAGCAGGGCAGACTCGATGCTAATTCCAATGGTATCTCGATCCTGTGCGCATGTCGTTGTCACAGTAATCTGCTCCCCTCCAAATGAGAACCTGCTTGTAATTTTTCCTGTCCAGAGGTCGAGTTCCTGGTGAATATCCGTCAAATTACCCTCCGTCACGTTGAGGACCTCTCCCTCGGCGGACCGAAACACTAACCCCACCCGTCCCAGATTAACACGGTTGGGATTCGCGGTGAGCCATTGCTCAATCACCTCGTCACTGCCCCCGAAATCGTACTCGACAAGCCGGCCGTGATTATACCAGCTTGCACCGTGATAGTCATTCACGTCGTCTATCGTCTTGCCCTGGGGTAAACTGTCGTTTTTCCATCCCCACGAAGACATGATGGCGAATGGCTGGAATGTTTGGAGACCTGTGACATCGGCGCCGAAAGCAAAGTTTCCATTGCCTACTTGCATCGGCGTAGTGAGACTGGATGCTTTGCGGGTGGGATTGTACCGGGACACTAACGTGTGCCGGTCGATTGCTGCTAGTGTTTGGTGTGACAAGAGGAGTAGGATAGGGAAGAACATTAGGTTTCTGATCTGTACTTCCAAGGAATAGCAGGAGGAAGAAGAACATCAGGGATCGTACTGAGAATTCGGTCTTTAGCCATTGGGCGTCATGGCTTGTTCATCGCTTTCGGACTCGCTTTCGGACATGTGCTCGGACTTCTAATCACTGTGCCGGCCTAGCGCAATTGTTCGGGTGTTGAGCCCAACGTGGGATTCTCACTTTGCCAAAGCGAATCTGTACGCAGTTTCTTTGGACATGGGACAAGCCGCCGTCCGAGTGATGGTCATTGACTCTAGGATGACAGTAGGATTTGCACCTCTTGGTTGACATATGAATTATTAATGTATCTGTCAAGGAGACGCTTTTCCTGGCGAAGACTCCACACCGTGGCCTATCGCCAACATTTTGGAATACAGAAGATGCAGGAATAGGTATTGATGCAACGTCGGAATTCCTCATGAAGTAGAACAGGTGTACTTCAATTCGCATTCGACGGAAACCAACTGACTATATCAATGATCGTACTATACCATACACCTCAGTCTTGAAGGTGTGACCCAAAGAATTCCGCTATTCGTACTTGTAAATCTTGGTACTCATTGGAAGACATCGTACAACTCACTCAAAGACAGCGCCGAACGCTTGTACGTCCATTCCAGTGTCGTGTAATCGACGTGCTGGATACCGAACCTACAGCCATGCTAAGATATTAAATTCTCTAAATTCGGAGCAACGAGCACACACCTGACGGATGTTCCACCTGACCATTCTGCATCGTCAATCATTCCTACAGCAAGTTAATGGCAATTTTTTATATCCCGTTTTGCTAGAACTAACCCCAAGTGAAAGCACCCTGTATCGGAACACCGTCTTCGTGTATGGACAGCAACATCTGACCAAGGTACGTGAGGAGGTAGTCTGGAAATAACAGATGATTTGTCAATGAGCCAGGCTGAAATGTGTCCGAATGCGCACTCGTTCGGCCCACGTCCTCTTTTATTTGCGAAATATCCGCGTTTGCGTACGCGAATGCCTCTATGGTACCGAACTCGGAAATATACTGCGCTAGTGGTCAGGAACACTAGTCATTGAAATATCCCCACACCCACCATCTTATTAGTTGGCCATCGAGAGTGGAGGCCCTTCAACAACGGACGAATGGCCAACGGTGTTTCTTAGAGGGGTGTAGCCAATGGGTCACCAGCGGGACCTGCGGGCCAGCCGTAATCCGAGTCGAAATATGCGGGTTCATTACAGACGGGCCACAAGAGATGGGAAGGATTTGCCACACATGCGTCGATTCCTTCGTCCGGAGCCTTTGCCCAAAGCGAGCGGTAGGCATCAATGGCAAAGAAATCTGCAGAGCCGAGAAGATCACTCTTTTCCTGGTCGGTGAAGCGCGGGAGATATTCTGCTGGGAGGGTGTCCTTGAGGATGTCCGGCCAGTCGCCGGTTGTGTATACGGGGTTTGCAAAGAGGCCGATTTGGAACGCTGCGTGGCGTTCGACGGCAAGTGCATCCTCAGTAGAATTGCTTCTCCATGGTGTACCTCTGGAGAATGTTCAGGTTGCGTAAAGCCTAGCAAGAGGAAGGGATATAGTTACATGTAGTTGTCGCTTTTGAAGGCGATCTCTCCTGATATATTCATTGCCCGGAATGCTGGTGAAAAAAGAGATAAGTGAAGTCGCACTTCATTGTGATACGTCGACAGACCCTTGACGGCTCCTGCATGGGCCTTTACTATGATAAAGTATAAGGACCGGGGGGTAGGAGGAAGAAGCGCAGTGCGGAACGTACATAGATTGTATGCACATTGATAAGGGGCGGTAGACGAGTTTACACCAGGAGCGAGCGTGGCATCTAGTCTCGACACTAAGCCTGCAGAGGTTGGTTGTGATACAAAGAATGCTCACTAAAAGGATAGGATGCGAGCTGGTCACAATAATCCCACGGTTCATTGAAAGTATACCTGAAGCATTTTGAGTTTATTGCGGTATCAAGAAACTGTGGGCACGAACCAAGTTTTAACACGGCCATTATATGCCTTGAATACCGTCTTGGCATAGCTGAAGGTTGTAAAGGTTGTATAAGTACACGAACTGTCGCATTCTAGCACTCACTTTACGAAATGGGTGATGTGAAACCCCCGTAGTAAGCCTGAAGGGCAAGAGGCGTATCCCAATGGACTATATCTCAGGCGAAGATAGTAAGCATGACATGCTGAATAGAACAAAGAACGCCATACACAGTGTTACAATAGGCTCCACACCATGAGCCAAATGATAATCAATGACTGCAGCGGAAGCGATCAGCATCACTTACGATACTGTCAGGATGAAATTGTACCATCAGAATAGTGATCAATGCCAGCCGTATTAATAGGAGAATCGGCGGCGCCAAACGGATAGATCCTCGCCCACGAGATGCTACGGAACGTTGTTCAGAAAAGGTCAGACTCACATCGACTGAGTTCCAACACGTACGAGAAAGAATGGGCAGTGACACCAAGAGCAGCAATGCGCTGGACGTCTTCTTTGTACAGAAAGTAGTGAAGATCGACGACGTCATCTGCATTAATCTCAGTCGCATGATTCTCATTGTTGCGGCATCATGAATACTCACCAGTTGTGTTATCGAATATACCCTTTGGCTGTCTGGACTTCCAATCCCACATTATCGGACCCTTGCCCTCATTCTTCGTGGCCCCTTCGACTTGGTACGCGGCCGTGGCGACTCCGAATTTGAAACCCTTAGGGAATTTCAAGTCTGGCAAGATGTCCTTCGGCGCAGGAGCATAGAAGGATGAATACAAAGGAGGAGGAGAGGGCGGTAGGGTGACCGCCGCGCTAGGAACGCAGGTAGTGGTGAACGGAGGTGGCTCGACAGGCCCGACCTGCAGATCAGTGAGAAGTTAGGGATAGACTATCAGCGAAACTGCGAACGATATCCCAAAGTTGTTCCAGTCCTTCTGGCGTGTAATCACGAGGAATCGATCCGATCGGAGGAAAGCTAGCCGTGGTCGCAATACTTGTGGGACTTGATGTGCTAGTAGTGGTGGATATTAACGAAGAGCTTGCTCCCGTAGCAGACTGTGGGAGCGCTACCGAAAATCCGCTCCACCAATCGGGAAACGCGAAAGAGAGCAGCAGTATTTGGATGAGCATCTTGGGATAAGGGAATCGAACAGCAGCAGCTACCATATTTATAGCACCTTCACGTAGTACGGAGGTAGAGTCATATTTTCGGTTTGTTTCCTTGGAACACGGGCATCGCGGAGAAGTGCATCGGATGCGGATGAGGGACAGAGAAGCTTGCAACATAACTTTCGTTCACGGAAGTAATTCTTTAACAGAAGCTTGGACAATCACACTGGAACCGCCATAGAGTGACAGCCACAAGACGGACCGCTGTATTAAGCGTGTGTATCAGAGCGTCCGAGCTCACTAAAACCACCTCCAAGACATCGTTCAGTCAGATGATCTACCTGAGAAGATGTTTTGAATATTATAATAGAAGAATCTTACTCAGTCGACCTTACAGTATACGCGACTGCACGCACTCTACCACGGCTCGGTGGCAATCCTCCATAGGGAATGACTGGACGACTTCTTCACCCTTGAGTTCACAGCGACTGCCGGGGACCTGGCAATGCGACGATAGGCTACGAAAGGAGGCGTAGGGTAGGCGTAGGATCGCGCAAAAGATCAAGACGACGCGTACATGGCAATTGCCGACTCACCTGTGTTCGGATACTCTACATTGAAGCTCGATACTCCAAATTCCTTGATGGCTTGCCAATTCATCGCACTCGGACTCGCATTCGATTCGAACTCGTTCCCGGACTGCCGTCCATTGTTCTCGCCTGGCACATTGTTCGGGCCAATGTGTGATTCTCAGGCTGAATTTCAGCTCGCGAGTCGCAAAGCGGAAGTGTGTGCATTTACTTTCGGCAGGGGATGAGCCACGGGTCGATTGATGATTCTAGGATGAGAGAATGAGTAGGATTTTCAGTATTCGGTAAACATGTAAATTACTGAAGTATCTTTCCGGAAGACGCTTGTCTTGTCTCTGTACTGACGATCCCATATCATGTATCTCCAAATAGAAAATGTGAACGCAGGAAAAAGCTGTCGGAAACCCTTGGCACGAACCAGAACATAGACATCTCTCCGACAATCCTCCAGAGTCAGGTATGTAGCGCCGCTGGTGAGAGTGGAGAAGCTCTGGCACCACCATTGACCAAGTATGCGAAAGGACTCAGAAAGTGCCGTAGAACCTAGTTGGTTATTAGGAATGAGATGCAAAAATGTCTAAGTAAACGGTCCAGATATCAAAGGCACTACCAGGGTTCGAACCTGGGTTATGGGAACTTATGATTCTAATCAGAATCCCATGTGCTACCACTACACCATAGCGCCTCAATCGCATGTCTGTGATTTCTACTTCCCGATTCAGTAGACTGGAAAGTAAGTGCTTACCCATCCACTCTACTATGAATGTCCTCTGAAAAGTAAGGCTTGAGTAAGGCTCGCTCGCCAAAGAACTGGTGGCCCTGAACCGTTGAACGAACTGTATGGCCAGAGAAGGATCGCTTGTTCAATTGAAGATTATGCGACGACGAGTACCAGAAATTGGCTGACCACTGGCGGAACCTGTGTATATGGTATGCGCACGACCGCAATCGGCCCACAAGCTGAGAGAGAGATAACTTCAAAAACACTAGGGCTCCCCAATAGTAGTATTCGGCTTGTCTACCATTGGGTGTGAACAAAGCAAGCACAAATGAGAGATAAAGCACTCATCGGCACTGGATGAAGCAAGTGACTGGCAAACTGGAAAACTGGAAAACTGGATTTATTGGCCACCTCTGCTGATACAGCTCAGGTAAATAAGCGCAAACTAATCTACCTCGGTAGCTCTTTGTAAGTAATGGTACACGTATCAAGGGCAACGGTCAAGACAATAAGGGAGACAAAAAGGACGGTAATTCGATGGCTACGGCGCTGTTTTTCTTTTTTGATGGAGGCGGACGTACCCTTCGCCTATATTCTGCCCAAATCCTGCCAGCCAGACGAATGCATGATGTGTGCCAGGTGTGGGCGATGCGGACCAACAGACGACTTGTTTTTGCTCCCGTTAAACCTGTCAGTGCGGGCAAAGGTGGTATTAGACCAAGGTAGAAGCGAGACAATGATTGGGGCCAACTGGGGCCATCTTCAAAGAGACGTCGGATGATCTGAAGAAAGGACCTGCAAATGAGCAGCGGTACCTCTGCAGAGTCCAGGATACGGGACGTCTCCGTAATCAGGGTTTGTGTGGCATGTTGCCGGAAAGCGTGATAGACAGGACACGAAACGAAGACGTGGTGGACGGTTTCCAGTGCATCGCATCCACTGACGCACATGGGGGATATGTTTCCGAAACGCCGGAATCGTGTGTATGTCGTGTCCAGCTGATCTGATCTCGCATAGAGCTGTACCAAGGCCGAGTACGCTGAGGAGGCCCGCAAATAAGGATGGTCGGGAGGGGTGTGTTGGTCATAGAAGGGCAACAGCATTGTCGTGGCAGGGCGAAAATCGGGGCTAGAATACAGAGCGGAAGTGAGTACGGAAGGCAAATACGATGATATACTTGTTTCGACGTAGCCGTCATTTGGGAAACCTGGGCTCGGCGGTTGTCCCGGTCCGGGCCTAGGACGGTGTGCCTTAGTAAGCATCCCAAGCAGGTGACCGTGTTGAGGTTAGGGTTTCATATTTGAGCCACGTTTACCCGGGGTTCAGAACGTTCAATCATCGGTCTAACTCTAACGCAGTCCGACTAGTGAGTAGTCCCGACAGAAGGTCAATACGTGACTCTCCTCGCAGACTTGATCCCTCCCACTGCTCCGTCCTGACTTCCGGATAGTAGTCTTATGCCTCTACTTATTATGCCGGTTCCTAGCACCTATATGTCCCACTTCGTGGCACGTCTACATCCTCCCATCGAGTCGTATTAGACTGTCAGCACCTCGCGTCCCAAACGCGTCCGCGTCGGGGACGGAGGAGGAGATACATGTGGGTCCCTGAAAAGTAGGGTTTAGCAACGACGCGTTGTTTGGGAACTCGTCTTACGGTCGACTCTTACCGCCATGGTCGAAATGGATCTCTTCGTTCCCCGCACCATTTCACCTTGATTCAAGTCTTTTCGCGGCTATATCGCCCTCTTTTGGCACCAGAAACATCATCAAGGTAGAGGCCATTAGTCTGGCGAATTATACGCTCGCTGAACTGGTAATGTCGGCACATACTGTAGCTGCTGGACAGCGACATGTCATAGAAAGGACTGGTTGGTAAGATTACGTATAAATTTGAGTGGACGTAGAGATGTGCTGGAAAAGAAGAAAACAATTCAGTACGTGTGTCAAGGATCTATACGGAATGGAACTCAGCTCGGTCCAGGCAGTGGCTGCATCAGGATCGCGAAGTTTCTTGCAGGGTATAACACTATCGCCATCTGCAGCCTTGTCTCTGACCCAGTCCTGAAAAAAGGTGCCATGCTGTCACAATGGTTAGCAGTCCGAGTCCGAGAGCGAGAATGATGAACAAGGAATCACCCTTCGCCACAGTAGCCAGAGAAAAGCACGAGGCTATATATACAGCGTGACACCTTACGGCTGCTGCCAGTGCCCTCCGATTCTCTTGCCCTCAAAATGCTCATCGAAGTACTGTTGCTCTCATTCGTCTTTTCCAGTAGGTGGAGCGGTATTTCTGTAGTACTCGCACAGTCGGGTAGTACAAGAACAACCTCTTCGGCAGTATCCCCCGCTACCAATACGCTGAGTCCCACAAGTATTTCCACGGACACAGCTAGCTTTCCTCCAATCGGATCGATTCGCCGCGATTACACACCGGAAGGACTGGAACAACTTTGGGACGTCGTTCGTAGTCTCGCTGATCGTCCTGGAGTGTGGCTTTCCTAACTTGTCATTGACTGCAGATCGGACCTGTCGAGCCACCTCCGTTCACCACTACCCGTGTGCCCAGCGCTGCGGTGACTCTACCACCCTCTCCCCCGCCTTTGTATCCATCCTTCTATGCTCCCACCCCGAAGGACGTCTTACCGGGCGTGAAATTCCCGAAGGGTTTCAAATTTGGAGTCGCTACTTCCGCGTACCAAGTCGAGGGGGCAACGAAGAATGAGGGCAAGGGTCCGACAATGTGGGATTGGGCCTCCAGACAGCCAAACGGTGTGCTCGACAATACGACTGGTGAGTATACGTGGTACCCGAACGATGTTAATCATGCGACTGAGATTATTGCAGCTGACGTCGTCGATCTTCACTACTTCCTGTACAAAGAAGACATCCAGCGCATTGCTGCTCTTGGTGTTACTGCGCATTCTTTCTCGTACGCGCTAGAACCCCATTGACTCGACTTATCTGAACAATACTTCTTAGGATTTCGTGGGCGAGGATCTACCCGTTCGGTGCCGCCGATTCTCCCATTAATACGGCTGGCATTGATCACTATTCCGATGGTATAAAATCATCCTGACAGTATCGTCACCAGTGGCGCTGATGTTTCCGTTGCAGTCATTGATTATCATTTAGCTCATGGTATGGAGCCTGTTGTGACACTGTGTAAGGCTTTCTTTGTTCTATTAAATATGCCATGTTTGCCACCTGAGAAATAGTCCATTGGGATACACCTCTCGCCCTTCAGGCCTACTACGGGGGTTTCACATCTCCAGAAATAGTCGACGACTTTGTAAAGTGGGTGCTAGAAGGATGCGACGATTTGCGTACTTATAGGATTTTCAGCTACGCCAAGACTGTATTCAAGGCATACAATGGGCGTGTTAAAACTTGGTTTGTTTTTGTAGTTTCTTGTTGCCGAAATATGCTCAACTGCTTTAGGTATACTTTCAATGAGCCGAGAATTTATTGTGGACAGGTTGCCACCTCTCCATTCGGTAAGCTTTCTGTACATCAAGACCTACCTTTGCAAGCTTACTGTTGAGACCAGATGCCACGCTTGCTCCTGGAGTAAACTCAACCACTGCCCCTTATCATTGTGCATACAATCTATGTACGTTCTGCATCCTTCTTCCCCATAGCACCCCTCATCCTGATGCTTTATCATAGTAAAGGCCCATGCAGGAGCCGTCAAGGGTTTGTCGATGTACCGCCATAAAGCGCTACTGGCTCATCTATTTTCTTCCCAGCATTTCGTGCAATGAACATATCTGGAGAGATCGCCTTCGAGAACAATGATTACATGTAAGTATGTCCCTCTTTCTCCTGCTGGCATCCGCTGGACATCTTGCAGAGGCACGCCGTGGAGAAGCAACTCCACCGAGGACGCACTTGCAGTCGAACGCCATGCAGCCTTCGAAATCGGCCTCTTCTCAAACCCTGTATACACAACTGGCGATTGGCCCGACATTGTCAAAGACACTCTCCCAGCCGAGTATCTCCCGCGTTTCACGGATCAGGAGAAGATTGACATTCTCGGCTCCGCGGATTTCTTTGCTATTGATACCTACTTCTCGTTATGGGTAAAGGCTCCGGACACAGGGATCGACGCATGTGTGGCTAATCTTTCCCATCCTTTGTGGCCCGTCTGTAACGAACCTGCATATTTCGACTCGGATTACGGCTGGCCTGCAGGTCCCGTTGGTGACCCAATAGCCCTCCCCCTCCAAGCGGCACCGGTAGCCATTCGTGCTTTGCTGAAGGGCCTCCACTCTCGATGGCCAAGTAATAAATTTGTGGGTGTGTGGCAATTTTATAGTGGTGATTTTTAACTGTTGGTGGGCAGTATGTTTCCGAGTTCGGTTTCATCGAGCCTTTCGCCTACGCGAACGCAGATATATCGCAAATAAAGGAGGATGTGCTCCGAACGAGTGCGTATTCGGTCACAGTTCAGCCTAGCTAATTGACAAATCATCTGGTATTTCCAGACTCCTTACTCACGTACCTCGGTGAGATGTTGCTATCCATCTACGAGGACGGTGTCCCTATCCGAGGCGCTTTCACTTGGGGTCAGTTCAAGCAATTGGGATATAAAAACTCGCCACTGATTCCACTGACTTGTTGTAGCAATGCTTGACAATGCAGAATGGCAAGTTGGAACATCCATGAGGTGCGTGCTCATTGTTCCGGGTTCAGAGATTTTCTGGTCTTAGCACGAGTGTAGATATGGTATTCAGCACGTGGATTACACGACACTGGAGCGGTCATACAAGCGTTCGGCGCTATCCTTGGGTAAGTCTTACGATGTCTTTACATGACCGTCAAAGCTTATGAGTACCAATAGCGGGATTCTTTGGGTCGCACCTTCAAGACTGAGGTGAATGTTCTGGTATGATACTCGCTTAGTTTCTGTCGAATGTGAATGCAAGAACAAGGAATACGCTTCTTCTATTGCAGTGTGAAAGC